CACATCCACAATTTTACAGCCCAAAGTGAAAAGTTCAATTCTCTTGAAAAGCTTTCAAGAAGATTAATGGATGTTAACAGAGAAAACTTTAATAAAGGTTTCTAACAACGTCGCGATTAATGTGTCATTCAGGATTTTGTAAGTTGTGTGCGTCAAAGCGAAAAATTTTGCTATGGGTAAAAATACAACATACATAGATATACAGCTGTGTTATAAACCCTGTTTCCAGTCTTCTGTTGTCATCCACCAAACCCTGCTCGGCTTATTCAGCATCAGGTGACTTATTTCTTTATTCCTGTATGTTTGGGTTTCATATCTCGTGATTCACATTTTTTTTCCTTTGCCTCAAAAAACTTCTGAGAAAGGAGAGCACTTTCGCAGATGCAACCATGGCGACACACAATATCAAACCTAAAACACACATTTTGTGAAGAATCAAGATGCTGGTTAGGGAATCGACTGAAGGAGGGGAAGTGTTTCTTCTCCTAGACTGAAGTAGATGGTTCCCACTAGCACAGGGATTGGAAGTACTGCTGTTTCTACTAAACATTGCATTTTATATTCTTTTTATATTTCTCACTCCAACAGCGTGAGAATGATCAAGGGAAAATATGTCTCACTTAAGCAATATTTTCTTAATAGATAAAAAAAATGTTGCACCAAAAGCTCCTCCCTTATTAAATCCTTGCAATCTGCAGTTAAAAGAATAAGAAAAAGTCAAACATTTAAAAAATATAGTGTTGTGGATATGCTGCAGTTGTTTTTCTCTGTTCTTGTCTTGGAACACAGCCATTGAAACGATCCATTAATAAATGTGTGTTTCCTGCTACGACGTGCTGCACTGTCTGCTGTGGAAAGGGCCCGAAGGCAGTATTCAATTTGTCGTCTGACTTTCTTTTGAAGTTTGACGAGTTCATAGAGGCCACGTGTGCATTTTTGTGTCTTTCCATGTAAGTGTGTTCTAACACGTTGCGTTTATTCTTCTATTTGGCTTTGATACAACATCCACACCTTTTGGACGATCTGCTGAGCTGAGAATTATGAAATCAATGCAATTCCATTCATTCTTATTTGTACAGCGCCCAATCACAACATACATTATCTTGAGTCATTTCAAATAGTAGAGTGGAGGCCTTATTAATATTTTAGAGAGTTACCCAACAATTATATCAGTGAGCAAACACTCGGTGAGAGAGAGAAACGAAGAGATAAAAGAGAGAGACCTGGAGTCATATTTAAATCTATGCATTTCTATCAGGAATATACTGTACGTACATATGAGTGCATATTTAAAATGTAATGCTTGTACAGCAGTGCATGCATACATATCAAATTCACACACACACACACACAC